ATATTATTTAATTTTACTTAAATACGTACTGTTAGGTTTTTTAAAATCTAAAATATTATTTTAACGATTAATAAATGTATTTTCCATTTTAAAAACTACACAATTATAACACAGCATTAAACGATGCGGTCCCACGACTCGTGTATTTGACGAATATTCGGTATTTGTGGATACTCGCCAAGTAGTGGGAATGGAGTACTTGTACAGGATCTTATTATATTATTATAATATTATATCTTATTATTCTAGTATTCGTGGATATTCGTCAAATACACGAGTTGTGGGATCCTGGCTTAAGATAAATTACTTAGATAATACTTTAAAATAACTAATATTCACAWTGCCCACACCAGTTTTAGCATTGTATACAATGACTAGACATTGTATTACAATGACTAGTCTATATGGGAATTGAATATGCATKATTTACTTTGCCCAAATATCTTAGACATTGTTTACAATGTCCGGGCATTGTATTACAATGACTGATTTATCCACCTGGACCGTAACATATAGATTAATATTATTCCACGAGTGGACTACTCGTTATTTATTGTATTTTGTATAATATTTTTTTGTTAAAATTGTTTTTAAAAATAGTTATGTATGTAATATTTATAAGAATGTTTGGAACAAAATCACTTTAGCTACCCAACATTTTTATTGAATTTTATTTAATCATACAAATTTCAACGTGTTGGGAACGATGATGCAAAAAATATTTACTGAAACCATTATTTTAGAAGTCATATCCTTCTAATTTGGAAGGTCCAAAGTTTGCGATTTTACGTTTATACGCCTGGGCACATCGTATTGTAATGAATAGCTACTTAAACGAATTTTGATTTTTTTGGGAAGTTAGTTACTGTATAAAGTTTAGTTCACAAGTGCAACACGTCGTACCTACACAAAGACAATGTTTAAGATATATTATGAATAGTGCTTGGAACTTAATGCACTTAAAAATGCACCTAGTAAATATGCATGCACTTATGCGCTTAAAAAGGTACAAATATGCTCTAAAAATACGTACTTATATTATGTTCGTTTCGTTTTTTCTAATAGCCGCTAGTTAATGTTTTTCAGTGTTAACGTGTTGAGTCACTACAAATTTTCGATCATTGTTAACTTCACAGTTCACATAACTTATAAAATAAAATACTTCCGTCGGTTTTGAATATATCTGTAACATATTCCAAAACAAAACAAATTAACCTAACTAACAACTATTCAAACGTTTTGTCACAGATTATCTAATTTTCGCCATAATGAAATAAAAATAATAGGTATAGGTAATTGAAACTAAGWAAAGTATTTTTAGAAAATCATAGTATTTTGATAGCAGCTGTTTCTATTTTAAATTTGTTTATTACCGTTTGTATCATGATTAGAGCGCGGATTTCTATGCAATTGCATATTTTTTTCCTTTTAATATTTTTGGAATGTTGTCAGTTATGTCCACGAATCATCATAATTTGAATCGAAAGGTGATTTTTTTTTGCATATTTAAAGGTTATTGCATTTTTTTGCATATTTGGGCAAAATTCAAAATTTATTGCATATTGAAGCGAAAATTTAAAAAAATGTATAAAATAATATTTTGTCAAGTAGATAAATTAAAACTAAATTTCATAGTCACTAAATAATAATTTATGTATATATTTTATTTAAAGCTTTATAAGATAAATAATCGATTACGGCGTAAAGTAATGCTGTGTCAGTCGGTTATCGACATACCACTTGAMACTCAGTTACATGGGTTAGGTAGCTCGAAGATCTTCATCAAGACCCGACAATACTAAGTTGCTTTAAATATGCCACAATAACTTCGGTTGACGTCGAACGTTCGTTCTCAGTCTTTAAAAATATGTTAACCAATAAACGACACAGCTTCACAGAAGAAAAACTTGAAATGCATATGAGTATTCATTTTAATAATGAATAAAATTTTAAAAATAAATTAAGGTTTTCAGAAAATTCCCTTAATTTTTTTAATTAAGTATTTCAATAATTAATTATTATAAGTTTTACTGTAAATTTTAAATAAATAAAAATGTTTGCATATTTTTTACATATTTTCATGATTTTGACTGCATATTTTTTGCATATTTTCATGATTTTATAGCTGCATATTATATGGCAAAATTCGATACTTATAAGTGCATAAAAATCCGCGCTCTAATCATGATATATCACATCCACACGGAACTACTTCGCCTGCTATGTCACAACTCACAGATGTCGAATAGAAGTTCAATCTCGATATTGCCGCCTCAAGTTTAATAAGAGTCAAATATAAATGAACATACATTAAATAATAATACATTATATTTACTATTGATTCTTACTTACTTTATGTTAGTTGTTTTGTCTACGTCATAGGAAACTATTGATTGTCGATTCAATGTTAAATATCTTTGATTTTTGTAGTCACTAATTTTAGTATTCCGTAAGGTTATTTTGGTATTTAGTTTACCCATGAAATTAGTCACAAATTCATTGCATAATGTTAAAGTTATCTGTAGGTATAATTGAAATTTAATATTATTAAATAATGAAACAAAAAAAAAAACAAATAATACCTTTTCATTACTATCAACGATTATAGGACTATTTCTTTTTTTTCGTATGTTTGGCCATTTTTAGAAAATACATTATCTACTTCACCCACATCATCAATAACAGCGTTTATATCTGTAAGTGATTAATTTTTTTTTTCAAAATTTTGATTTGATAATTGTTTTATACAATTGTTCAACTGGACTCCTTGGGGACTGGTAGTTTAATTTTTCCATTTGCACAACATAAACCAGTTGGTTCGTTTTTGTATTTTAATGCTTAACAATAAGTACATTCATTATCCATTAACCCAATTGAAATATTATTTTCGAATTCATAGTCGGTTTCTGGATTGTATGAAAATGCTTTCATTTTTAAAAATTGTTCTAACTTTGATTTTCTTAGTCTGGTTCGTTCACTACTGTAAATTTAATGATACCATCTTCAACATTTTCTTGAGATTCATCTACTTCTCTGTCGTTTTAGATTCTGAGCGAAGCGATGAATGTACCTATTGATTTTACCATTATGTGTGTTTTTTTTTTGTGTGTCTGTCATCATGTTTTGGGAGTGCTTCGATTTTTGACTACAGTGTTCAGTACCTCGTTCGATCAGAAAGTGAATCTAGTTGGTACTTTGGGGGGTCAAAAATGAAAAATTCTTAATACTTTTTTAAATAATCGAGGAAAACAAACTAAAAATTTTCGATCATTATTAGTTTTTTTTTAATAAAATTAATATCGATAAAAATTTATTTATTGGCAGAAAAGCTTGCAAATTTAATGCAAGGCTCCAGTGGCGTGTAAACTAGGGTCCAAGTGTTG